TAGACGAGTATTGAGTATCAAACAGGCCGTAAAATTTTCCATGTGCACCTTTCGAGGATGAGAGCGAAGGGAGCAATAACAGCAGTGGCGAAGGCATGCCTATAGACAACAAGCACATAGTGGCTCATTCCTCTATTGAGTGATACTTTGGTAATGATGTTCATACCAGCATAGCCAAATTGTAATGAAATCATGGCTATTTAAGGCTTAGCCTTTTCAAGAAAATTTCCAAGGCATCCTTTTCCTTCCATTTTTCTCACCAGTATTTAATTTAACAACTAGTTTTGAGAATGCTAATGCTGAATAGTGTTATAGAAAGAGAGAGGGACAGAGGAAAACACTTCAAAGAGTTTGTGTTTGTCCTAGGGAATGGATGTGAAGCAATTAGTGTATTTATAAGTGAGAACAATACAAATCAGAAGCAAAAATCAGACAAGGGAGAAGAAGAACCAAATGTGGAAGAAGAGAGAGCCGAGCCTTGGAGCCTCCAAAACTTAGGGCAAATAGAAAGGATACAATGAACCTATATACTACAAAACAAAGGAAATACAAATGACTAATTCTGCTCATGTCTCTAAGATACTCCCAACCCACAAATTAAACCAACCCAACAAATAAATATTCAAAATACCAAGGCCCAATAAACTGAATACCCAGCCCATTATATCAAACCAATAAACCAAATTCCACCCCCTTCAGCTCCCTTTTCATCTCAGCCAAGTCCATCGGTCTCCCCATCTCCCCTACCTTCTTCACATCCACTGCACCACCAACAGCCCTGCATATGACTGACCCTTTTCCACCACTGACATTCAGTAAATGCCCAACCATATGCAGTAAAACTCGAAATGTCCTCCTCTCATCACCTGCAACACCATCGGTTCCACCACCATTATCACCATCCTCCACCACGCACCAACAACCCAAGCATCTAGCCCTCACAGCCTGTAAAACTTCAAACGCCGGACCCGTAGCACCACCATCATCCTTCCAATCCTACCCCAGCCTGCCTACGGCAGCATCGACCTCTACAAACGACGTCAACACCGTTCCTCCTTAACCATCTACCCACACCTTAAAACAACTATGCCGCCTGTGATATCTAAAGCAAACACCGGACTCCTACCATCAGCTCTGATACCATGTGAACAATACAAATCATAAGCAAAAATCAGACAATGGAGAAGAAGAACCAAATGTGGAAGAAGAGAGAACCGAGCCTTGTATAATTAAAATTGCATTTACAGACAATAGCTTCACTGCCGTCTGCCTTCACAGGAATGAGAAATCCCTATCAACAGCTTGACAATCACAAATTCACAATTGCCTACTCAATTCATCA